GACGAGTGAGTGAGGAGCCCACCACGAGAGCCTGTGGCGCGCAGGAATGGGGGGTAGGGCGAGGGCGAGGGGGAAGAGGAGGAGGAGGAGGAGGCGCTGTGCGCGGCGCCAAAGAGGAAGCAGGGGGATGAGGAGAAGGAGGAGGAGGAAGAGGAGGAGGAGGGGGCGGAGGAGAGAAGGAAGAGGAGGAGGAGGAGGCGGAGGATGAGAAGGAGGAGGAGGAGGAGGAGGAGGAGGAGGAGGAGGAGGAGAGGAGTGTTGGACAAGCAGGAGGAAGAGGAGGAGGAGGAGGAGGAGGAGGAGGTGAGAGGATGAGGAGGAAGAGGAGGAGGAGGACGAGGAGGAGGAGGACGAGGAGGAGGAGGGGGATGATGATGATGATGATGATGATGATGATGATGCTGATGATGCTGATGATGACGATGATGATGATGATGGTGACGGTGATGGTGATGTTGATGACGGTGATGATGATGATGCTGATGAGGATGCTGCTGATGTTGCTGATGATGATGATTCTGATAATGATGATAATGATGATGGCCATGATGATGATGGTGGTGATGATGATCATGATGAGGATGATCATGATGATGACGGTGATGATGCTGATGGTGATGATGTTGATGATGCTGCTGATGATGATGTGGAGGATGATGATGGTGGTGGTGGTTGTGATGATGTTGATGATGATCATGCTGTTGTTGCTGAAGAAGAGGATGATACTGATGCTGATGACGATGCCGATGCTGATGATGATGATGATGATGATGATGAGTACGATGTTGATGCTGATGATGATGATGATGATGATGATGATGATGATGATGAGTAGGAGGAGGAGGAGGAGGAGGAGGAGGAGGGCAAGGAGGAGGATAGTCATGAGAAGGAGGAGGAGAAGGAGGAGGAGAAGGAGGAGGAGGAGGAAGAGGAGGGGGTGGGTGGCTAAGGCCCGCGCAGGGAAAATATATACTGGAGCGCTCATGGGGGTCAGCCAATCCCCTCCAGCTCACCCGGCTTTTGTAGCCACGGGGGGCCGATTCCCCGATTTCCGCCCTCCGGTCTGGTTTCTGGAGCTACTGGGCGGCTGGCCTGGCTTCGCGACAGGGCCCTGACTGGTCTGCTTTTGCGTGGCCCGGGCCAGTGTGTCCCCCAGAAGCACAAAGCATGGACCAAGGCGCGTGGATTAGCGACAGGTCCCGCTTCCGTGCAGAGTCCGCGCGCTGCGTCTCCAGATCAGGCGGCGCTGGCCTCACGCTTCGGCGGGGGGTCCCTGCCCCGATCCACTGATAGCCCGCGCTCCAGAGCCACGGATCCGTAATCCACGTTAGCGTGCGCCCGAGATACCATCCCTGATTATGTAGCCTTCCCTTTTTCTTTTCCTATTATTCTTCTTCTTATTATTATTATCATCATTAGTCGACTTCTTCTTCTTCTTCTTCTTCTCCTTCTTTTAGTGCGTCCTTTGGTCCGCCTCTCCTCCGCGCACCCGCCTCTGGCCACGGTCTGCGAGGCCCCCTCTCGGACGCCTCCCTCTTGGACGCCCTTGGGATCGAAGACCAGGATTATGCGCAGACCTCCCCGCCGTCGTGGACACCGCGGGCGGGGCCAAGGCACCCCAGGGGCACCCCATCGACCCTGGGCGCCCGTTGCGTGGCCACTTCCCTGGCCTCGGGTCCGCAGTACCCTGGGCGACCTCGTGCGCAGGGCGCACATGTCCGGCCCACTTTGGGAGCTCCTCCTCCTTCTCCTCCTCCTCCTCCTCCTCCTCCTCCTCCTCCTCCTCCTCCTTCGGTGCCGATTTCCGCTCTGCTCTGCCGCCGCTGTCTCCGCCACGCCCATGCGCAGAGCTCCGCCCCGCCCCCTCGGAGGCGGGAAGCCCCGCCCTGCTTCTTTGCTCGCACCGTGGGGGGTGCATGTCCGACCCAACGGGGCAATGTAGAAAACACGAGCTCCCAGATATGATCGCGTCGTAAAACAATCTGGACGGAAGGTTTGCGGTTATTTTCGGCCCCAGGGGGGGGCCCTCGCTGGGCCTCGGGACCGTCAAGAAACGATTCAGGACGAAAAACCGGTCCCGGGGAAAGGGTCGGGACTTCCAGGGACGCCGTCCTGAAAAGATCAAGACGTCGCATGTTTGGGTTCGATTGCGCCGACGTTCGCGCGTGAGCTCCTCGCGTCAGGCCGCGCGTGAGCGCCCTCGCCTCCAGCGTGGCGTGCCGCGCCGGGCGCCCGCGTTAGCCCGCAAAGTAAGGTCGCTATGCCATCTCGCCATCTCGCGTAAACGGCCCCTTTCTTTTCGTTGCCCAGATGGTTTTCGGGCCATAACTCGGGCCTCCAGCGGCCCTTCGTGACGATCTGGGCACCCCAGGAGCGCTCTCGGCGAGGCGGAGCTCCTGGAGAGCACCCCGAGGCTGGAGAACCGCCGAGAGCCCACGACAGCGCCACGACACCGCCCGACGAAGTCGCGCTGCCATCTCGCGTAAGATCCGTTTCTTCTCGTCGCTGCCCAGTCGCAGCTCGGAAGTCGAGGTGCCCCCCCCCCTTCGGGCCCGGGGGTGGCCGCGCCGCGCCGCGCGCCTCGGTGCCCCACGGGCCGCTCGGGCGAGGCACGCGCGCCGTCTCGAGGCCGGGGCCTGGGCAATGTGGGGGCTGCCGCGGGCGGGGCTCGGGCGGGTGGCCGACCCAGACGCGATCGCGTCGAGTGCCTCCTCTTCCACCACCTCCTCCTCCTTCTCCTCCTCCTCCTCCTCAGTCCTCCTCAGTCCTCCTCAGTCCTCCTCAGTCCTCCTCCTCCTCCTCCTCCTCCTCCTCCTCCTCCTCCTGAGTCCTTCTCCTCAGTCCTCCTCCTCCTACTCCTCAGTCCTCCTCCTCAGTCCTCCTCCTCAGTCCTCCTCATCCTCCAGACATGATCGCATCGTAAGAACTCCATGACGGAAGTGTTTCGCCGTGTTCGGCTCCCAGAGGCCCTCGCGGGGCCTCGGGACGGTCAGAAAACGACTCAGGATGAAGAGTCAGGTGGTCCCGGGGAAAGGGTCGGGACTTCCGGGGGTCGCGCATTGAAACAATTACGTAGGACGTCGCATGTACGGGCCGGGAGCTGACCTCCATGGGGAAATGGGCCCTGTTGTTCACCCCCCCACTTATGGGTTACCCCCTCTTGCCACCCGCCCGATGGGCCACGGCTCCGAGGAGGAAAGCAGACCGACACCGCCACCCCTCCCTCGCCGCCACCCCGACATCCCTGCCAGAGCGCACCCCTGGAGAGGTCCGTGGCGCAGCGGTGCGGGTGTCTTGCTGTTCTCCCCGAGGCTCCCCCTGCCCGCACCTTTCGACCCTGGGCGCGAGAAAAGTGTTCCCCTCGGCCCATGGGTGGCCGTGCCGCGGGCCAAAGTGTGCCGCGGCTGACCAGGCGGGGGGCCCTCGTCCGGAACAGGGCCCCTTGCGTTGGAGGGGTGCCGCGGTCCAGGCCCATTGATGTTGTGCACCCCCCTCCTGTCCACTTCTCCAGGAGTGGTCCGTGGCGCAGCGGTACGGGTCCAGGGGTCGTTTTTCGCCCCCAGTGCATGTGTGATGACCCGAGAACGGCCCCCGAAGGGCGAAATCGAAGAGAAACCGGCGGTTGTAAAAGTATCGGCGCACTCTCTTCGTCCTCCTCCTCCTCCTCCTCTCCTCCTCCTCCTCCTCCTCCTCCTCCTCTTCCTCCTCCTCCTCCTCCTCCTCCTCCTCCTCCGCCTCCGCCTCCGCCTCCGCCTCCGCCTCCGCCTCCTCCTCTTCGCTTCTCCTCCCGGCGCCCCCCCTTGCGCGGCCCCATCCCTTCCCTGGCGGCTCCGCACGGCGGCTCCGCGCTCGCGCCCTGCCGAGGCAGGGGCAGGTCGTCGGCCCCCCGTCGCCGTCGCCACCGACCTTCGGAGGCCACGCGCCCGCGCAGCACGTCGTCGTCGTCGTCGTCGTCGTCGTCGTCGTCGTCGTCGTCGTCGCCGTCGTCGTCGTCGTCGTCGTCGTCGTCGTCGTCGCCGTCGCCGTCGCCGTCGCCGTCGCCGTCGCCGTCGCCGTCGCCGTCGCCGTCGCCGTCGCCGTCGCCGTCGTCGTCGTCGTCGCCGTGGTCGATTGACCCTCCGGGGTATTCCCCCCTGATCCTCGGGCGTCCTTGCCCGCGCTCGGCGTTTCACCCCCCCGTTCCCCCTTGGCTTTTGGCGGGGGCGGCGGGGCCGGACAGGTGGTGTACTCGATCTTGGATGCCAGGCTATCCATCCCGGGTGACGTCGGATGCAGTCCCAGAGGGCGACGATACGATCGGACCGTCGTCGACGTCTTCGGTCGGTGTCATCGGCATGGTCCGCCGCCGCTGACCTTCGGAGGCGGCGCGCCCCCGCCCCCTACGACAAGGATACGGGACGAGGAGGAGGAGGACGAGGTGGAGGAGGAGGAGGACGAGGAGAAGCAGGAGGAGGAATCTTGATAGAGGTGGCCAGTTCCATTATTGTCTTGTTCGGAGGTCCTTATTGGAACCACCTCCGCAGGCAGGCAATAGGCAAGAGGAGGAGGAGGAGGAGGAGGAGGAGGAGCAGGAGGAGGAGGCGGAGGAGGAGGAGGAGAAAGAGGGAGGAGGTAGGAGGAGGAGGAGGAGGAGGAGGAGGAGGAGGAGGAGGTGGGAGGAGGAGGAGAGGAGGAGCGAGGGGTGAGGAGGAGGGAGGAGGAGGAGGTAGGAGGAGGGAGGAGGGTGGGAGGAGGAGAGGAGGAGGAGGAGGAGGAGGAGGAGGAGAGGGAGGAGCTCATGAACCCTCGAGCCACTGAGAGAGGTTGTGAGAAGCGCGGCGCCCTTCAGCCAGAGCAGCGTCTGCGGCAGGCACTCACCATCCATTATCTTACATAGTTACCTCTTAACTCTTTCACATTTGCTTAAAACCTACCTCTCACATCTACGTCCTCATGAGAAACATTCGAGGAGGAGGAAGAGGAGGAGGAGGCGGAGAAGGAGGAGGAGGAGAGGAAGGAGGAGGAGGAGGAGGAGAAGAGGAGGGGCGAGGGCATCGGGCGCGAATGCTCGCACTGCCCGCACTTCAAAGCTCGAAGGAGGAGGGGGAGGAGGGAGCGAAGGCATCGGGGCGAATCGCTCGACCTGCGCAGCTCGAAGCTCGAGGAGCAGGGCGGGAGGGCGGGAGGGATGGAAGGGAGGGTAGGGGGAGGGAGGAGGAGGGAGGGGAGGGAGGGGAGGAGGGGGGAGGGACGGAGGGAGGGGTATGGATGGGAGGGAGGAGGGAGGGAGGGAGGGAGGGTGAGGGGAGGGAGGTAGGGAGGGAGGGAGGGAGGAGGGAGGGTGCTTAGGGAGGAGGAGGAGGAGGAGGAGGAGGAGGAGTAGGTGAGGAGGAGGAGGAGGAGGAGGGGGGGAGGAGGGGCGGCCGGCGTGCGAGGGGCGGGGGGAGAGGCTCGACGGCTCGACGGCTCGAGGCTCCCCAGCGAGGCCTCGTCGGTCCTCGGCGCCCAGGCAGGTATCCAGCGTCTCGATTGTTGTCGCTTTCGGGGGCACGGGCCCCCGACCTCTCGACGTCGCCGCTTGGAGCCGGCTATTCATCCCGAGTCGTCGTTGGGCGGTCCTGGGGCCCAGGCAGCCGGCGTCTCGACGGTTTGTGTCGGGGCACGGGCCTCAGCTCGGGTTCCCGTCGGAGCTCCACGACCGTCCTGGAGGCTACTTGGCGCGTCTGGGGGCCATCTTGGCCGTCTGGGGGGCCATCTTGCACAATCCTGCAGCGATCTTGGGGCGACGTGGGGCCCTCCTTGACCATCGTGGGGGCCTCTTGGAGCCATCTGGGCTTGAGTCGGGCCTGTCCCTCAACAAAAGTCTGGGGACGATTTCTTGAGCATGTGTCAACTAGTTGGGGATATTTGTGTTGTTGTCGTTGTTGTTGTTGTTGTTGTTGTTGTTGTTGATGTTGTTGATGATGATGCTGATGCTGATGCTGATGCTGATGCTGATGCTGATGCTGATGATGATGATGATGATGATGATGATGATAATAATGTTGTTGTTGTTGCTATTGTTGTTGCTGTTGTTGTTGTTGTTGTTGTTGGTGTTGTTGTTGATGTTGTTGTTGTTGTTGTCGTCGTCGTCGTCGTCGTTGTTGTTGTTATTGTATTTTTCATTCTTCGCCCAAAATCCGCCTGTAAGGGGACGTGCCCGACCTAAATCTGGGCTCGTTTTGGGCCCCTCCTGGGCAGACCGTGGCTGGCCCAGCAGACCCCGGGCCAGCTTAAAAACGACTTACAATTCTGGCTGCAGCACCTGTCGTTCCTGTCTTTGTCCTTCTCCTCCTCTTCCTTTCTCCCCCTGATCGTCTTTGCGCGAGCTGCTTCAAGCAAAGCCTCGCCGACGCTTGGTGCCCAAATGGTGTACAGCTTTCTTGCGATCGATGGGAAAAGTTCTGGCTGCAGCGACACCAGCAGCACAGCCCTCTCGGTGCTGCAGCGCGGCACTCCATTCTTCGTGCCAGATCCATGGTGGCGGATACTCTAGCACGCTACGCTGGTTTGAGATGCGCAGTGGTGCCAGATTCGAGACGCGATTGGTTTCTGCTGCCGCGCGTGGGCCGCACATCGACGAAGAAAAACGCCATGAGCATAAACTTTTGGGGCTCCGCGTGGATGTCTTGGGTCCGCGCTGGAGCGCCCTGGCGGCGCCTCCGGCGAAGTGCCAAAATGTTGCGTTAGTGCCGTTTTGTCTTCTTCGAACATAGGAGCTGCGTCCTTCTCCTACGTTTCTTCGTTCATCCCGCCCTCCATCTCTCTTCTTCTGCGTCGGGCCCATGGTTCGCAGGGGCGTCGGAGCACGGCCTCTCGACGCCTGAGCCTGAGCCTGAGCCCAAGCCTCGGTGCCGCAGCGTGTGGCCGGGGGGCAGCATCGCGACGGCATCCCTCGGGCGCGTGCTCGTGTTGAGTCTAACCCAGTGGCCCAGACGGCGCATGTCTGGAGGAGCCCTACGTACGTGGGCATGGACAGGGTCATCTGATCGAGCGAATCGGCCGGCCAGCTCTTCCTCGCTTCCTTTCCCAACCAATATTGCATTTGAATCTGCTTGTTGGCGCCGAGGCGCCGCCGCCTAGCGTCTCGTAGGGCCGCCCCTTGGGACAAGTAGGCGCCGTGTCCGTGTCCGTGTCCAGTGGCTGAGACGGCGCACGTCTGGTGAAGCGCCCACAGAGGTCGTCAAGTCGGTCCCAAGACTACGTTCGCCAAGGCGAAAGCAATCGTACATTCAGTAAGACGAGAAGAGCCGGCAACTCGGCCCCGACGCTTGTTCGTCAAGACAGATTCAGTGCTCGTGCTGCACCTGCTGATTTGGTGAGGCCCCGCTCGCTGTCTCGTCACGCGTCTATGTTCGGCAGCCCGGCCCGTGCGCGAAGACCCCCTGCAGCATCACGTGGTCGGAAGTGCCCACGTCGCCCCAGTGCCTCGTGTTGCCACTCGTCTTAAAACGGGCGTGTCCCGTTACAGGAGGAATATTCAGATTTATCCCAGTGCGACCCTACCTAGGAGTTCGAGCCTCTAGGAAAGCAACATTAGTAGGAGCGGTAAACGCCGTCCTCCGCCTTCTCCTCATCGTCGTAGTTGTAGCAGTAGCGGTGGTAGTAGTAGTAGTAGTAGTAGTAGTAGTAGTAGTAGTAGTAGTAGTAGTAGTAGTAGTAGTAGTAGTAGTAGTAGTAGTAGTAGTAGTAGTAGTAGTAGTAGTAGTAGTAGTAGTCGTAGTAGTAGTAGTAGTAGTAGTTCCCCCCCCCCCCCCCCCCCCCCCCCCCCCCCCCCCCCCCCCCCCCCCCCCCCCCCCCCCCCCCCCCAATAGTAGTAGTAGTTCAGTTGTAGTTAGTAGTAGTAGTAGTATTAGTAGTATAGTAGTTGTAGTTAGTAGTAGTAGTAGTTAGTAGTAGTGTAGTAGTAGTCGTAGTGCGTAGTCGTAGTCGTAAGTCGTAGTCGTTAGTCGTGTCGTAGTGGAGGTCGTAGTAGTAGTCGTAGTAGTAGTAGTAGTAGTAGTAGTAGTAGTCGTAGTAGTAGTATAGTAGTTGTTGTGGTGGTAGTAGTGGTAAGGGGTAGTGGAAGTAGTCGGTGGTAATAGTGGTTAGTAGTCGTAGTAGTAGATAGTAGTAGTAGTTGTTAGTAGTTGTAGTAGTAGAGTAGTAGTAATAAGTAGTAGTATAGTCGAGTAAGTAGTATTAGTTTGTAGCAGTAGTAAAACAGTAGTGTAGTAGTTGTTGGAGTAGTAGTTTTAGTAGTAGTAGTAGTAGGTAGTAGAAGTAGTGATTTCGTAGTGTGGTAGTTGTAGTAGTGGTCGTAGTGTAGTAGTAGTTGTATAGTAGTAGTGTAGTAGTAGTGTGTTGTAAGTAGTAAGTAGTAGTAGTAGTGATAGTGGTCGTAGTAGTAGTAGTAGTGTAGTAGTAGTAGTAGTAGTAGTAGTAGTAGTGCGTTGGAGTAGTAGTAGTAGTAATACTTATACTTTCTACTTGTGTTTAGTAGTAGTAGTAGTAGTAGTAGTAGTAGGAGTAGGAGTAGTAGTAGTAGCGCCAGAACCGCCGACGCCACGCCATAAGTGAAGCAGCAGCAGAAGCAGGCAGCAGCATGCATGGAACATACGTGCGCACACACACACATATATATATAAATATATATATATATATATATATGTAGTTTTAGCAGCAGCAATAGTGGATGCTGCGCTATGCTATGCTATGCTATGCTATGCTATGCTATGCTGCGCAATGCTATGCTGGGCTAGGCTAGGCTATGCTGTGCTATGCTATGCTATGCTGCGCTATGCTATGCTATGCTATGCTATGATTTTGCTTTGCCTTCGCTTTTGCCTTCACTTTTGCCTTCCCTTTTGCTTTTGCTTGGCACCCAGGGAGCGCAACTGGGGGAACCGCGCGTTTGCTTTTACCTTTGCTGTTGCTTTTGCTTGGCTCCCAGGGGACCGGGGGAACCGCCCGGGGCGCTTTACACTGCCCAGCCCCTTTAAGCGAAGAGAGTAAGAACCCTTCAAGGCAGAGCCTAGGTAGGGAAATAATCTTAAACATTAGTCCGGGGATTCTTTTTTCTTGAATCGCTTCGCTCATTCCTGAGCCTCTTGGGGCCGCTGGGGGGCCTCTTCAGCGTCGCTTGGGGGCCTCCTGAGGGCCTCTTGGGGGCCTTTGGGGCCTCTCAGGGGCCTCTTGAGGCCTCCTGGGGGCTTCTTAAGGCCGAGGGCTCGAAGTTTTGTTTTGTGTTCCCCCTTTGGGGCATCGCTTGGGGCCCTCTTGGGCCCCACTTGGGCCGTCTTGGATGCCTCTGGGGCCGTCTTGGAGCCCTCTTGGGCCATCTTGGGGCCTTCTTGGGAGCTTCTTGGGCCCTCTTGGGGCGATCTTGGGGGCCTCTTGGGCCGTCTTGGGGCGTCGGGAAGCCGAAAAGATGGACACGCCAAAATCTGCCCAAAACCTAAAGAAAAGTAATGAATTTTGCCCTTTGGGGCCCTCTGGGGAGTGCTCTTGGAGGCCTCTTGGGGCGTCTGGGGGCCATCTTGGGCGTCTTGGAACGATCGTGTGGCATCTCGGCGCACTCTTGAACCATCTTGGAGGGCTCTTGGCGGCCTCGTGGCCCTTCTTGGGGCTCTCTGGAGGGCCACGGGGGCGGCGCCCAGGAGGAAAACCATCACTGACCCGACCCTGCCGGGGATCGCCCGGGGTACTTTTCGTCCGGGGACCCCCAGGGGCCGCCCCGCGCGCGCGAAGTAGAAGTATTATTTAGCAGTTACCGGAGATCTTAGCACGCCTCTGGCCCGTTGGGCCGGCGAATATCGCTTTTGACTATGTTTGAACATTCTGGCGTCTTTTATTATTTGTTGCCCAAAATCCGCCTGAAGAAGGACATAGATATCCGACCTAACACTCGTCGTTCAGACTCGAACTCCGCCCCATCGGGTCAACGTTAGGGGTGGATATGCTCAGGAGGGGACGCATCGACCCCCAATCGCCCATCGATCGCCGATGGAGGCCCGATGTCCCGCCCCGCGCAGGAACGTGCGGTTTCGCGCCGGGGGCCTCTCGCTGATCTACCTGCGATGCAGCGCCGATCCTAGGCCGACGCTTGCCCCCCTGAGCCAGTGCCCCCGTATCGCTGCCCCTCACTCATTCCTTCGTGTTGCCACTCGTCGCCCGGACTCCAACGCCGCCCCGCGCGTGGGTGGTTGGCATGTGCGGCGCGCGCGGCGCCGGAGCTCGGCGATGGCTGCCGCAGACCGCGCGCCGCTTCCTCGGCGCGGGTCGTCGCGGGGGAAGCTCAGAGGAGCTGCGTGCGGTGGTGGCGGGGCGGTGTCATCACCCGGCGGTCCGACGTCACGTGAAGCGCTGCAGCATGGTAGGAGAAGCGCGCCCAGAGCCCTGGACCCCATCTTTTGAGCTGGATCGACCTGGTATGGCCCCGTGGCCCGAAGCCGGGCGAAGACGCCGGGTGTGGAGAAAAGGGTGCCAGGATCCCAGAGGAACGACGGCATGGAGGCCAGCCCTCGGCGGCGAGCTTGGGAGGGGGGGAAGTGAGAAGGAGAAGGCCTTCTCAGAGGGCTCGGCAGTCCCCCAGCCTTCCCCCGAAGGAGCAGAAAACTCCTCAGAAGGCGCGAGGGCGTCCGAGAAGCCGCGCCGCCTGCCGAGAAGGCCTTCTCCTTCTCACTTCCCCCCCTCGCTCGCCGCCGAAGCCCGGTGGTCTCCGCCCGTGGGGCTCCAGAGGGACTGAGGCCTGGCTTCAGAATCACCGCGCAGTCGGGCCTGCGCCCTGCCTCCTCCTCCTCCTCCTCCTCCTCCTCCTCCTCCTCCTCCTCCTCCCCGCTCCTCCTCCTCCTCCTCCTCTTTCCTTCTGTACCCTCCTCCTCCTCATCCTCCTTATCCTCGTTCCTTCTCCCCACTCCTCCTCGTCCTCCCTCTCGCCCTCCTCCTCCTCCTCCTCCTCCTCCTCCTCCTCCTCCTCCTCCTCCTCCTCCTCCTCCTCCTCCTTCTTTCTGTTCGCTTCCACCTCCTCATCCGTCCTCCCTCCTCCTGCCTCCTCCTGACCTCCTCCTTCCCCTGCTTCTCCCCTCCGTTCCCCCCCCCCGCTGCTTCTCGTCCCGCTCCCGGCAGTTCCCTCAGACGAGCCCGCGAAGCTGGAGCAGCTGGCTGGGCGGTGGATGGTATTTAAGGATGGCCCCGCGTGTTGTCCCGCGTCATGGCTGGGCAGGGCGAGGAGGAAACGGCGGAGGAGGAGGAGGGGGGGGGTGCAGAGGAGGAGCTGGGGGGGGGCGAAGTGGGAAGGGGCGGGGGAAGCGCGAGAAAGGGAGGAAGACGCAGAGATAGAGGAAGATGAGGGGCAGCAGCGGGGGGAGGAGGGGAGGAGGAGAAGAGGGGGAGGAGGGAGCAGCACCCTGTGGCAGGGGAGCAGGCAGGCGGGGCCGGATGAGGAAGCTGCCGCGAAGCCCCAGGTCGCAGAAGCCACCAGGCGGCCGCCGCGAGCCTGTGGAGCGCTCCTGCTGTCAAGCCCCTGCGGGTTCTGGGGCTATGGGGAGGCTGCGCAGCTTCCGAGTCGGAGCGGACGCCGTTGTTGCTCCTCCTCCTCCTCCTGCTCCTCCTCCTCCTCCTCCTCCTCCTCCTCCTCCTCCTCCTCCTCCTCCTCCTCCTCCTCCTCCTCCTCCTCCTCCTCCTCCTCCTCCTCCTCCTCCTCCGTTCCGTTCCGCCGTCGGGGACGTCTGTCCCAGAGCGGCTTGACAGTTCACACCTCGACGTGCCACCGCGAAGGTATAAACTGCCCAGCCGCCCCTCAAACGTGGAGCAAGAGGCAAGAGGGGATCAAAGCGAGTGTATTTGCATGCTTGGGGCCAATTTGTGCATGGCGGCGCGGCCACGGTATCACATCCGGGGCGGGGGATCAAGACACGTGGTGAGCGTCCCCTGCTGCGCGCTTGCCCGCGCCCCGTGCACACTACACCCGACCGGCACCGACCAGCAGCACCAACCACCACCGACCAACAGCACCGACCCAATCGACCAAAACAAGCAGCTCCAACGGCTTCCCATCTACCCCCCTTGTCCATTCCCTCTCCCCTCCTCTGCCTCCTTCCCTCTCCCCCCACATGGCCATGACGGTCATTCACAACAATGCCCGGTCATTAACGACGGACGACCGAATTCAGGAGTTTCTCGCGGAGCTTGATGGTGGCCATGGAGATTTTGCGCTCATCAATGAGGCTTGGAAAACGATGGCGACAGAACTATGGACAACCATGCAGGGACACATTTTCGTTTAATCTGGCAACGACCAGGCATGTCACGGAGTTGCCATTCTCGCACACAAGCGTTGGAGCAGGCAAATACAACGATTTCACACACATTCGCCGAGACTTGCCACAATGTCGTTGCAAAGGGGGCGGCTGAAATTACAGTTGGTATCGGCATATCTTTCGCACTCTGGCTGCAATGGCCCGCAGGTGCAGCGAATGTACGACGCCATCCACGAGCTCCGCAGAGGGAGAGAGACAGGGAGAGCATCAATGAGCGACGTCACATCATTCTCATTGGAGATTCCAGCGCGCGGGTCCGTAGCCATTCTGGCTCAAGCCATTTTGGCTCAAGTTGCCATCTTCTCGAGGTGTTACAGTGACCCGCGCCGTGGGCAGGCAGGCGGCATAGCCTCGCCCACGTGTTTTTTTTTCAGCGCACGACCCCGCGGGAGCGTCCAGGCACCGCGACGCCATTCGACACGACGCAGTTATCAACCAGTCCAGTCCCATGGCGCCTGCCGAAGGGCAGTCGTGGGCACAGTGTGAGAAGTGCGGCCCGCGTTCATGGACTCCTACTGCTAGCGGCAAGCAGTGGTGCCAGATATGCGGCCTCTACTACAAGAAGCCAGAGGGACGAGGCGCCGACACTCGTGGGCGCCGTCGCACAGGTGGTGACAAGGGCGGTGCCGCAGGTGGCGCACAGGGGCTCTCAGACCAGCAACTGGACAATATCGCCAAGCAGGTCTATGCCTCCCTTGCCGCCCAGCCGTCGCCTAAGGGGGGCAGCAATGCCGCAGGAGCCCTTTGCACAGGGCAAAGCCGCCAGAGCCACGGGCAAGGGCAAAGGCGATCCACTGCACTTGGACGATGATGACATGGACCCTGTCACCGACACTCACGACAAGCGCATTGAGCAGCTGGACTTGCTCGTTTACGCCTAGCACCTAGCAGCAGTTGGACGTCAGCATCATGCCAGATGTCGCCGCCAAGCTGCAGGAGGCACGTGCCGATTCGGTCGAAGCTCGCGCTGATCAGGCGGCCGCTCTTCTTCCAGCGCAGCGCACGGCGCGTTGCCACGCGCGCGCAGCGTGCGTCCGAGAAGGTCGAGAAGATCAAGCTGCGTATCACAGAGCTGGAGAGGGGGCGTGACGAGCTGCAGGCTCAGGTCGATGACCACGCCGTTGTCCGCCAGGAGCAGCGCCAGCGACTCTTGCAGGCACAGGGAGATCAGATGCGCGAAGGACGCGATGCTAAGCCGGCATGGGCAGACACTGCCCCCGAGGAGGGGCTGGCCACCGTCGCAGACTTCACCAAGTCCGCCACCGAGAAGCCCGAGGCGGCCAACGCCAAGTTCGCTGGCATCGCAGATTGCCATACCTTCATCAGTGAGCTGGCTGTGCCGTTCAAAAAACTTCCTGGCAAACCTCGCCGCGGTCAGACGCCGCGCGCGCCCGGGCCGTCCGATACTCCGCTCTTCGAGAATGACTTCTTCAAGTCGGTGATGGAGGAGCTGGCCAAACACGTTCCCAACGAGGATCTGGAGGCCATTGTCGCCGCCAGGGCCAAGTACCAGGAGCGGCAGACTGACGCAGCCAAGCAGCTTGCAGCGCGCGCAGGCAGGGGGGGGGGGGGGCAGGCAAGGGGCGCGGCCACAACCCGCACAGCGGGTCGCAGCCGCCCCATTGGCACCTCCCCCTTCAACGCGGCCAGTGACGTGGGCCGCGCCGTCGGCGCTAGCCGCGCGTTGCGCGCTGGCCCCGCGCCCACTCCCACTGCAGATTCCGCCGCTCCCCCCTCCTCCTCTGCCCCAGAGTTTTCCCGCCTGGAGATTTGCAGCGGATCCTCCTGGGGCTCCCGTAAGAAGCGCCTTCTAGAGCTCTCGTGGGGGCCCGCCAACGTTTTGCTTGCCCAGGAGGCGCACTTGGCCTCCGATCTAAGCATCGCCGAAGCTTCCGACTGGTCCATCAGACACGGTCGGACAAGTTTTTGGGCCCCGTCAGTGGCCACGACCGGTTTTGTTCCTTCAATTCGCGGTTTAGAGGAAGCAGGTGCGCCAGCTGGGGGTGCCATCTTTGCAGCCGAGGACCTCGGTTGCCACGCCTGGGAGGAGCCCGCTGTGCCCCCATGGAGGAGCTTTGATTCCGCATCGAGTCCTTGGAGTCGTCGTGGGGTTCCCCCGGACCTCGGGCATCCTCTGCATCTCGCTATATGGCCACGTCGATCAAGGTTTCTCCCGAGAAAATGTCGCCATCCAGGAGGCCGTTTCGGATATTGTCAAAGTCTCGGGGATGCAGTGCACCATTGCGGGCGACTTGATCGAGTTTTCGGGTTTCAACACTCACATCCGCGGCCAGTTGTTTGCGCCCACCTGCTCGATGGGCACCTGCGCAGCCAGCCGCGCAGTCATCGACATGTTCATTTTCGAGCAGCAGCTAGCAGGTGCTGTGCGCGACATTGATGTGGATTTCAATTCGGATGCTCGGCCGCATTCCCCGCCTGCCCTGGATCCCCCACCCGCTTTCGGAGTGGTCTGGGTCATCAATTCCCCGCTATGCCCGCCCTCCCCTCCGCATTCGATAAGAACGAGGGGGGTGGGGGCATCGTGCGCCCCAGCAGCGCCCGCTGGCGCAAAGTGGCACGCCGCGCAGGCAGTTTAGTTTCAGCAGCAGACAGCTACCCCGCGGCTGTTTTATTAGATGGACCCGCCGCGGTTTACTCGATGCGGGCCAGCGAGGCTGAGCAGGAGCTTGCGCGGCGCACAGGCAGCAAGTTGCACGAACCAGGAGCCCGAGGAAGAGCCCCCCAGCCAGTCCTTCGGCCAGTCATCAAGATAGTCACTGCCCACAAAAGTACGGCCTCCCAGCGGCGCCATGTTGGATCGCCTCGCGTTTGTTCTGCTTGGCCAAATACTTGGAGAGGGAGGCAGGTTGGGCTAGTACATGTATGATCGGTAAGTCTACTAGACCAGCGTTGTGCGACCTCGTCCTCCGTCTTGCGCATGCGTCTCCGCGGCGCGCTTTACAGCGCGAGTGCACGCGTGTCCTCCCCGCGCAGGTGCAAGAAGTGTTGCGGCCTCTGCCCGCGGCCCTCGCAGCTGGCGCCTTCGCCTGCGACCAGTCGGGGGGCGCGCTGGCGGAGCTGCGCCAGTTCAAAGTCCGAGCGGGCGCCCTAGCCAAGCGAGTTTTGTCACCATCACGGTCGACAACGCCAACGCTCGGAAGGAGTGGGCCGGCAAAGCCTTGGACGGAGTGGCCAAGGCAGCTCGCAAGTTCACCAGGGAGCGAAACGAGTGGGAGCCCGACACTGTCGTCTTTGAGGGTGAGCTCACGGCACGGCCTCCGCCCAGAGCACCTCGGGCGCCTGCAGGGCCAAGTTTGGCAAGTGTTTTTTTTTCGTTTTGGGGGGGGGGCGGGCGCGCCCCTGCATCGTGGCAATGACCTCCATGGGCCAATTGCGATGCCATCCACGGACTCCATCAGGGACCACTCTAGGAGCCACAAGAAGGCCTCCGCGGCTTCCCTCGACGGGTTCCACATGCGCCACCTTAGCCTGCTTTCGGAAGAGGCCTCCGAGGCCTTCGCCTGTATCATTTACATGTCGGAGTATCTTGGAGAGCTCCCCGGGCAGTTCCAGTAGGTCTTGGTGGCGCTCATTCGCAGGGCCCCAGGAGGTTATCGCCCCACAGGCATTGACCCAATGATGCGCAGGTTCATGGGCAAGCTGCGCTCACCTTCCGCGCAGGAGTGGGTTGCCCAGCATGACCACGCTCGGTTCGCACGCAGAGCTGGGCGCCCCCCCATTGATGTTGTGTGGCGGCAGAGTCACAGAGCTGAAGGGGCCGTCTCGGGCGGAGGGGCATCTGCCGGTGTTCCGCAGGACATGGAAGTGGCACTTCCGTCGGGACAAACTTTGGGAGCGTGCGCTCG